CTGGGACAATAGGGAGGAGAACCTGCTCCTGCGGAAGACAGTGCCCTTGGGCCCTGCTCCGGCTCCATCCTACGTGAGCCACATCCGTCTCACTGTGCATCATTTCGTGCCCTGCCTGAGCTCATGACTGGGGGGATCTCGCAGGTCTGGCTGTGTGGTCACTGCTGTCTCACATGGTTCTGGATGTAACAAAGACCACGAACATAGGAGAGGTTGTTTTCAAAATGTAAATAATTCCCTACTGCACATGACATAGGCTTGTTGCTAATCCCATGGGTCTACAGTAGGATTCTCCCCTGAAGCTTTGCCTTAAGCACAAGGTTTCAGTTCCTGTGCCCAATCCCCTGTTATGGTGGAGTCTGCTAGTTTCTCTGGCCCAACAGCAGGACACTCACACCCCTGCCTGCACCTGCTGCAGAGCCTTTCTGCTCTTGGCCCCAAAACAACAGGTGACACGGTTCTCAGACCCATGATTTACGGTGTCAGTATTCAGGTCTCAGGGGTCCCTGTGGCTTCTCTGGCTCCAAATCTGGAAGCACAGGCTCCATGACCATCTCTGGGCTCTAGGATGGGTAAGATGCTGATTATTACTGCAGCTCCTATAGGAGAGATGGCACTTTCCACAGTGGTCCAAGTTCATGGGGAACTGAGACCCAAACTTGCCCCTGGCTCTCTGGCTCTCCCTTGCTCTGAAGATGCTTCCTCACCCTGTGCCAGGGGCTTCCTGCAGCACGGCCTTGAGAATTCCTCTCTCTCAGCTCCTCTCCTTTCTTACCAAAAAGTCCAAAAGGAAACCTGCTCTGTGGTTTCCCATGCACAAATAGCATTGCAGCGAGCCTCCCTATGCAGACTCCCTTGAGTTCCTGCGTGCATATGACCACAGGATACATTTCCAGAAGTGAAATTGCTGGATCAAAATCATGTGCATTTGTGATTTTTACCTATTGTTTTCACACTGCCCTCCAGAGGGGACCTACCGGTTTACAATGCCAGTCCTAAGTATTGATTGGAATTTATTGGTAAAAGTGCCAATTTTTGCCAACTTATCAGATATAAAAATTATCTTGTTACACTTTGATTTTTGATTCCTTCTATTTTGCTTGAGGCTGGGCCTTTACTATTTCAGTGCTCATTGTTTTTTAGGATTTGGTAAACTTTTTCTTAAACGTCTAGATAAGAAGTACTTTAGCCTTTGCCACACACGAGTCAACATTGGGGATAATCCATAGGTACTGATAGCACTGTAATCATTAAAAAATATAAAATATAAAAATTTAAAATATAAAAACCAGTATCAGTTCTGAGACTGCTAAAAAAAAAGTGTCAGTCCAGAGTGTCCCACAGGATGTGGTTTAACGGTCCTGGTTTTCAGGGTCATGTGAAGTGGGAAAATTGCAGCAGCGTGTGTTCTGGGTGGAGGTCTCCTTGTGAGGGTCACTGTATTTCACCTCCTCTAGTGGCCTGAGGTCTTTCTTTGGATAAGAACATACTTGGACCATCCATCTATTTGATTGGATCTTGTGTCTGCTCAACACAGCCGTGTGTCACAGGCTTATGACTTTCATCCTCATCCACTTCCTCTGCGTTTCGTGAGAGCTTTAGTATATCAGGAATAGAGGCTCCTCGTAGGTGGTAAATTGGAGGGAGAGGGAGTGGCAAATGGACAAGGAA